ACGCTGCAAAATAAGCGTTTTAATGAAACAATTTTATTTTGCTGAATATCATGTAGCTGAGATAGTTAAGGTAAAATAATAAATTTTCTGCTAAAAAAATATATATATAACGATATTGTTAAAGTCAACAGTGATAAATTAGTAATAAATAATCAAGAAAAAATTTTCTTCAAAAACAGTTTGAAAAGCTATAACTCAACACTCTTTTCTTCGTGTTTTTGGTAAAAAATCGAATAAATATTCTCTAAACTATGCTTTGTCAGCGCCATTTTTTTTTTTTGCCACTCTCCGTAGATTGTACTTTTTCGAATTCCATGAATTTATCCCTACTATGCTGAATGGCCAACATTAATCTTGCCTGTCCTCTTCATTGTGAACCGAATTAACAAACTCTGAATTAAGTCTACAGAGCAGTTGTTGACAACATATATTCGGCGAACAAATTCAATGAAAGTTTTAAATTGGTCGATAAAGCCCCAAAAAGATGAAGGACAGTTCAGCCAAGGTTGATTATCGTCTTTGCTCAAATTTAAGAGACTGAAAATAAACCACGAGTTCCTCCAACCAACTGCGACAAGCTAGGTGGTTTCTCCCGGGAGAAGTCTAGATCTTTCAGAAGGATTGGATTTTCAAACTTCTCATTGTGAGTAGGTTGTGAGAAAAGAAATTTTGCGTGAAAAGAACTTTTGCAACTTTTTCTTTCTCATCATCTTCGAGTTTTTTGTCTGCAAGACATAATGGAATCAAGGTTTGATCCAAATACCACGTGTCTCTCCATTGATTTCAATACTTCTTCAATTCCTTCTAGTACATTAACACCTGGATCATAAGATTGCACCCAACGTTTACACTGGACCATCTGCCAGTACGCATTTAAATCTTGATATGGTGCAGAGGAAACTAAAGAGGAACGCACAAACCACACAGTATAAAATATAGAAATAAATTCTGCCATTTTACTGATTTCTTTTTGTAAACAAGCTGTCAATTGGAAGGGCAACTGATTACTTAAAACTTGAATTTTAAGATAATATATAGACTTTGCCATAAAACAAGCATAGGAAACTGATCTGGAAGCATAAACATTAAAGCTTACATCTGGATATAAGTAGGTGAGTGTAAGTTCTACCAGTTCTTTATAATCACCTCTTGGAAATACTAAATAGGCAAGTGCATATTTGAAATATTGAACAGTTTTTTTAATCTGTTTTTCTAGAAACGTTCCTTTACCTGCAGCTTTGTCAAACTTTTTGAACTTTGATTTATCCATAGTTTCCTTTTTTGCGTTCCAATTAGCTTGGAAAACTTTGTACATCAGATTTTCAGGAGCATAAGTTTTACCAATGTGAACTTTTTCCCAAAAATGTTTATAGTGAAGCTCATAAACTCATGTCATGTCATATCAAGTTGTAATATAATTGAACCCTGTGTTTGACAAATGCCGGAATATTTCCTAAATTAGTTGAAGTTGTGTCAAAGCACAGACCCTTTATATAAGTTCTTAGCTAATATTCATCCTAAATTTTTATTAAAGTATCATGATGAGAGTTTCCAGAACAATTATCCATTGGCGGAATGCCAAGTAGTCTTAAATCACCATCGATATTTACAAGAACAGCAAAATCTCATTTTTGTTTTGTACCGTTAGTAATATCCTGCAAGATTCTTCCATCAAAGTGTGCAACTATTAGAATATTACTTTGACTTGCAGCTTTTATTATATCTTCTTGATATTTAGCTGCACTTGTACTTATTGCTTTCTTTTTTTCACGTCTGATAGTAGATTCAGAAAGCGAGAAATCTGTCAAACTTTCCCCAGAAGTAACTACTATGTCAGAGAGCAAGTGCATCATATTTCTAGGTGAAATATTTTTAGAAACACCTGTAATTGCAACTTTTTTTACAAATTTTTTAAGTAATACTGTTGAAGCACTTGTACCGCATTTAATTTCGTCTGCTGAATATCAGAGAGTGAAAATAGTCAACAAATTAATATAAGCAAAAGTAAAATTGGGTAAAAATAAAAAAATTTTTATTATAGATCATTTAGCAAACCTGATGTGTTTGCCATGAAATATCCCGCCGTCATATCCTCCATCGATCCACGGTTTCTTTATTGCAAAAAGGATGCAATTCTGAGGACATATTGCTAGTTCAGAGTATGCTGACATCATTTTATCTTGGGAAGCACAACCAATCAAAGTTTTGGTAGGAGTATTTTTGTCTAACAGATGACCGAGTTATTAAGATTAAATTTAGATTTATATATTTCGTTTTTAAACTGAAATTTAATTACTTGGTTAATATATTAAAGGATCATTTATAATCAGTTTTAATTTTTAATCATAACTGTAACGAAAATAAACAATAATTTCCTCATTTGTGGCAAACTGCGTTTGACAAAGTTTTTCTAACACTTTTTTTTCTTCAAATAAAAATGTCTTTGAAAGTGATCTCGCAATTTTTGGTAGCATCTTTAATTTTTTTTAAATCTTCGTTTTATTTTATCTTTAAAGTAAAAGATGTAAATTAGTGTTTATTATAATAATAAAAATATTCTTAGCTTAACTAAAAGTATAGCACAAATTCGTTTTTTATTCTTTTCTAATTTTTTTAGAATAGTTCGAAAAAAAAAGATTTTTTTTGTTTGTGACACACGTGAGTTAAATTCGATCGCAAGCGTCATTCTATTCAAATATACTTAAGAATTATACTAAGTTAGTGCGTTTTAAGCTATTTTTCTTGACCTAAATTAGCATATATTTTTTTATTATAAACTTCCCAACCAATTCCAAATTAATATTTAGGCCTTTTAGAGTTCATAGAAAAAAAATTTGGTGTTTTATGTCAATGTTTAAGGTCCCCGCTTTTTGATTAAAATAGTTGGGATTTTGGGGCACAAATTGTAAAAGCGGGGACCTTAAAAATGGGTTTTTAAATTTTTGTTTTAGCGTAAAATTATTTTTATCCAACCGGTCAACTTATCCAGGTGGTTGGTATTTAGTTTGAAAAAATTGTTGAAAAATGACGCACGCTAATATATATATATATATATATATATATATATATATATATATATATATATATATATATATATATATATATATATATATATATATATATATATATATATATATATATATATATATATATATATATATATATATATATATATATATATATATATATATATATGAAGAAAAGATTCTTTAGAAAAAATAATAACAGTCGTAGGACAATGGGAACAAAAAAACTTAAAATCTTAGCTAAAACTAAATAAATTAACATTGTGAGAAAGTGAAAAATAGTCTCTATCATGTATTGTTAGTTTATAAAATCATTAGTTAGTTGGTTAAAATGGATATGTATGTACAAGTATTACTAGGTTTCCATTGGTTTCTAGGTTAATTCTTTACACTATATATACATATATATATATATATATATATATATATATATATATATATATATATATATATATATATATATATACATATATATATATATATATATATATATATATATATATATATATATATATATATATATATATATATATATATATATATATATATATATATATATATATATATATATATATATATATATATATATATATATATATATATATATATATATATATATATAATACTTACACTAAATTTTGTTTTTTTAATTATTTCATTTGAAAAAAAGTTGTATTAACTTAGATGGATATGGAATGTCAGAATCAGCAATTGGAATGTTGTTTCTTATTGTTGCATCATTTCAAATTGGAATCCAGCTTACAGTTGTTAGTATGGTAAGAAACTGTGATTTTTTTTTTTTTTTATGTAACTTCTTACTGCTTAAAGTCATTTTATTTTCAGATTGTTTTTAGTTTTTAATTAGTACTAATTTTAGCTAAGTATTTTACAGTATCACTTATAAAAGTCTACAATATCTCTTTACCGTAAATATGCATGTTACAACAAAATAATAATAAATTTACAAATGAAGCTTTGTAGAATTGAAAAGAAAATTAGCAAAGAATTTTATAGATAGAAAACTTGCAGGAGTGGTGATAAACATAAGAATTAAACAATGCTTAATGACACAAAGCTGTGTATGCAAGTATCACAGCCGCAATCAAAATAAAAAAATGAAAAAAATGGTTTAAAGTAAAACATTGGGTGTATCGTTGTTTTTTTTTAATTTACAATTGATTTACAGATTCAACTGTTCTATATAAAAAGTTTAAGTTTTAATTAAAGAAACATGGGAGAAAATTTTAATAAGAGTTTATATTTAAGAAGTAAACTTTAATATAAGGTGTTTGCAGTAAAAATGAGTAAGATAAAAAATTTTAATTGAAAAGCTGAACAACCATTGTGAAGTAAAGTAAAAGAAAAATATTTTAGGCTGTGCATTGGCAATGGATTCATAAAAAGATGCAGGAGTTTGCTAGGGAGTCTAAGTATGGTTGATTTTGAGTGTGCCAAAATTAAAGGTTAAAAAAATGTTAATCTAAAAATAAGATTTAAATGGATTGGTAAATGTCGAAGGTAAAATTAAGAAATCTCTAATAGAATGTGTCGGTATGTTTTCTATTTTAAACCTTTTTTGTTTGACTAGCAGGTTGCGCAGAGAATGCAGCAAGCAGGTTGCGCAGAGAATGCACCAAGTTAAATTTATTTTTTATCCAATCATTACAAAAAGTTATTAAAAATTTAATTATCTAAAAACCTTAAGTTGTCAAAAAATAGGTTTTTTATAAAGTGTAAAAGGTATAAAAAACTTTGTTTTTTAGATGATGGAAAAGACTGGTGCTAAAATGGTAATTAAATTTTTTCATGTAATACATGGCGATGGTTGATTATAGTGTTGGTGGGTGCTGTTGCTGCGTGATTGTTTAGATTGAATTTTAGAATTAATTTTTTTTTTTAGACGTTATGCACATCTAATTTAGGTTTTTGTATCTTTATTGTTTTTTTGCCAACAGTCAGAATGGTTAAAAACAAGTAAGTTTATTAAACACAAATGAAGTTGTAAAATATAATTATTCATAAAGAGTTATAATATATTGTCATAAAACATAATAAAAGTTTTATCTCCATTAGAGTTTAACCAATAGGTGTTTTGCACCTCATTGTGTATAGCAGTTGATTAAATTTTTATTATAAAAAAAAAGTAAAACAAATTGCCTTCTACAAATTTGTAATAATTAAAATTTATAACAGTTTTCTTGTTTAAGTGATACTTTAGTACAAGAGTGCATTACTCTTTTGAGTTAAACAGGTTATAATCTAGGAGATGACAATGATCATAGAACACGCTTTAAGAAAAAATAATTCGAAATCATTAAAGTTATTTGAAGTTATATGAAACAGATACAAATGAAAAAAAGAGGTATAGAGTTTTCTAACTACTGTATTATACTCTCACTATGAAATAGTGGGCATCGACTTTCATTATTTTGGCGATACTTATTTCATTGCTCAATATTTTGGCGTTGCTCAGTTACGGTTCTATTTTTCTTCCGTAATCTCTATTAATGAACGTCGCCAGAAAGCTGCCAATTTTTTCTTTAATACTTTTGTCAGTAGCAATTTCGAAATGAACGAATACAACGATAAATGACTAAACGCAATTCTAAAAAATGTTTTTTCAATATCATCACAATATAATTTTGAAATATATAATTTTTCACGTATAAGTATTGTAAAATAATTAGCTTTTATTAAAATATTTATTTATTAAAAGAAAATGGGATGTAGAATATAAATATTGTGCTTTACCTACAACGACCTTGCAGGACGTTTTTAGTTCCTTCCATACACTGAGAATGAAAAACATACTTCTTTGGCCATTAGCTGTATTAAGATTGCCGCGCTAAGTTGTTTCTCATCTCCTCCAACCGAAGTAAGAAAGTTCATCTAAAATAAGAAAACAAATGTAATATAATTGGTTGTACTAAAAGTATAATGGTTCCTCATGTGTATGTATTAGACGGTTTTCTATAATGTGATTTTTATTAAAATATGACATTATAGAAAAAAAAAAGCAATTGGTTATAAATAGATTATGACATCTGTAGCGGTGAATACACCCTACAGATGTCATAGATATCTGAGATTAGTAGTCATTGCTACACAAAATACATTGCTAACTGGGCATTAAAAATAAAAATCACAATAAAATGTAATAAGCATTTATATAAAACATTCTGATATACAACATAATTATAGTCAATCACGTATCATATTGTATCATTTGGTTGTCTGTTTCGTATAAATGTATCTTATATTTTAAAAATTAGAAACTTTAATAGCACATGGTACTGTTTCCAAAAACTATTAACTAACATCAATTCACTGATATATACTACTGATTCATAAGGTGTCTTTGTTCCATAATTTTTCTTCGAGGTTTAGAAGATCTTTTTTCCTCTATAACCGGCAAATATATTCAATAAATCGAAAGAGATAATCAAGCAAAGCTCTGATGGTCTGATGGAATCACTTAAACCTAAAACACTAAAGATTTCTTCAATCTTTGAGAAACTAAGAGAAAATCTCATCAGTGTCACTTTTTTTGTAATCTGCATCCTTTTAAGCTGGAGGCACAGATAATTCCATTCTATAGCAGTCTCATAACTGTCAAAAAAAAGTATAAAGAAGAGATGAAACCATACTAAACAATCAACATTTACTATATTTGAGTCAAACATAGCTGTTTAGATTAAAAACAAAGACAATACTGTAAATAAAACAAAAACAATATTGTAAATAAGACAATTACCAAAAATTTCTTATTTTCAGCTGCTTTCACCCTTACGGAAAATTCCCATGAAAAAACCCATGAAAAAAACCCATGGAAAAACCATGGTTATTTGGAACACGTTTTCATGGAAAATCCATAAGTTTTCCATGGGATATTCATGAGATTCCTATGGGATCCCCATGAGTTTTCAATGAAAACCCATGAGTTTTCCATAGAAAATCCATGAGCTTCCAATGGGAAAAACCCATGAGTTTTCAATGAAAACCCATGAGTTTTCCATGTAAAACCCGTGAGCTTCTCATGAAAAATTCCATGAGTTTTTCATGGAAAAGTGTTCCAAACACCATGGATATTCAATAAGATTTCCATCCATGGAAAAAACCATAGAATTTTCATAGGTATTAGAAACACCTTTTCAAGGAAAACTTATGGATTTTTCATGGTAAAAAAGCTTGATTTGTTTTCAAGCTTTTTTGACCAAATGTTATTTGAATTCTCATATTAAGTCATAAAAGAAAATTTTATCACTCTAATATTATTGAGTTCTCTTAATCCATGGGATCGCTTTCTCCAAATAAAATCAATAAACAAAATAAAATTTAAATCCTACAAATCTTTGAAAAATAATGTAATGCACCTAAAACATCAAAACTTGACTTCCCCACAATATTTAATGCATGCATATGTGTAACATACTGAAAATAAATAAAACAAAAAATTACTAGTAATATAATACTGTAAGTGATATACATAGTGGTAAACAATTGAAATTTATCAAGAAAATTTTTTTTACAGAAAATAAAACAGTTTACATGTTTATTATTTTATACTAACTATTTGATAAAAATAGTATATATAAATTTGATAATAACTTAAAGTTTTAACAAATTAAAAAAGAACCATCAATACAACATATTCAATCCAAAAAAACATCAAGTCCATTTATAAGTGCGACTGCATTGTGTCTGTAGAAACAGGTAGATGTCAAACAAAGTACCATTCACATTTTGACATTCATTATTTTTTCACCGTAGTTAGTCTCATTCTCCATTTCACCAATCTAGACAATACATCATACAACTATTTTATACATTCTACTAGTTTTTTTTATTTACTGATTCATTTTACTAATAATTATTATCTATTATAAATTACTTTATAATTAGGCATTATACACAATTAAGAATGTTGCCAAATGTTAGGTAACATTTATATAGAAAAAAGTAGCAATGAATATATCATTATTTATAAATAACAATTATTAGATTATTACCTCTTTTTCGCCTAAGCTATCTGCATTTATATTTCCAGTCAAACATTCCTGCCTATAATGAAACTTAATTAAAATGATTTATTCAAACTAATACATATATAAATGCTACCTGCATGTTAGAAACATTTATATAGAACAAGGCAGCAACAAATATTATATTATATATTTATTTTTGTAATTAAAAAAAAACTTACTTCTTCTTCTGAGCTACCTGCATGATGTACAACATCATTTACTAAATTGTTTTCTTCACGTCCTTACCACCTTTATATTTATTATAAAGCACCGGACTTGTTAATGAACAGCTAAATAAATAAATTAAAAATTTATATTGCAAGTTAAACCTCCCTGCTAATAATGTAGTAATTTAAATGAAATGATAAACTTAAAATGAAAAGAATTATACACATATATAAATTTTACCTGCATGTTAGTAACATTTATATAGAACAAGACAGCAAAAAATTTAGTATAACTTATAAATTGTAACTTTAAGTAAAAACTTACTTCTTTGTCTGAGCTGTCTGCATGATATACAACGTTATTTATATTGTCAGTCAAACTTACCTGCTTATAATGCAGTAATTTAAATAAAATGATAAAGTTAAAATAAAAGAACTTATGCACACACCATTAAATTCAAAAATTTATTATATTTTTACTTTACTATTTAAAGCATAACAAATTTATTAAATATGTAATTTATAAAGTATAGTAATGTAAAAGCATAATAAATATCAAAGTGTGTGCATAAATTAATTTATTTTAACTAAAGACGAGCACTTTACATTAGTTAAATATAAAGGAATAAAAATAATTGTATTTTAATAAATAATAGTGTATTATTTATAAACATTGCTTTTATATGCTTATATTTAACTACGAAGTAAAATCTTATGCATTAATTAAGTTCCTTTTCTGATACTTTTAAAACATTTGCACAGTTTTCCTTCTCCAACTAAGTGGTTCTTGGAACATCCTTACAAGTTGAATCCCAGAGATTATGTTTATATCTTTTCTGGTTAATTTAAACTCAATTCACTATTTTATTTTCACAGCTTTTGACAACTTAACAGAACCAAAACTGAATATGACATTTATCATAAAAAAACGTTTTTTAATACTTAATGAACATTTACCATACAATTAACTTCAAGCATTTTTATGTAATCTGAGGATATTATAAAAAAAAAAAAAAAAAAAAAAAGATTATACTAGTTATCTTTTGTACATTAGTTATCTAATCTTATTATCTTATCTTATCTTAGTTATCTAATCTTATCTGATATACTGCTTGTATATTATTATTTTAGATAAGTTTGTTTAATATGTTATATAAGTTTTATAATAATGATTATATAAGTTTTAATGTACATTAGATTACACTATGTACATTAATACACTTGTTATTTAATGTAGATTAAAACTAAACGTTTATTTGTTGTAAACCAAATAATAATTATTTGGCAAATAATTTGCCAAGTAAGCATTAAAATTCAAACTGGTTTACTTGACATACTTGCTATACTATTGCAAGTTATGCAAAGCTACTGAAACAGTTAAAATAAGTATATGCAATATAATTAAAAATAATGCATTTTATAATGCATTATAATATGATAAATATATCTAGTTGCTTATGTCTGTATGTTTAGTTTGAATCATATAAATGTGATGCATTATAACAAACATATCATTTATAGTCTTATAAAACACAGAAAAACAGAAGAATGTATTGTTTGTATTGTTTACTCAAGTATTGTTTACTCAAGTTAAAAGTAATCGTAATTGTACGAGCCATGACGCCGTCTTTAAAAGCGCATTCGTAACAACCATGGCGCAGCATAAGCTATGAAAAAAAAAATCATGGAAATTCCATGAGATTTCAATTTTCATAAAATTCACCCATGGAAATTTTTATGGGAAATTTTTATGGGAAAACCATAGTTTACTTATGGAATTCCA